CTGAGCCACCCAGGCGCCCCTTTACTGTCTTTTAAAATAGTGAATATAATCTGAGGTTTTTTATTTTTGAGACTCAGGACTATCATTTTATTGGTGTACTTTTGGTTTCCTGGACTGTAGATTTACCATTACGCTTTTGACTTCTTAGCAGTTTTTTTTTTTCCTGGATGTTCATTAATGGGATAAATAGAAAAGTAGATATGTTGGAGGAGACGCTGGCCTCCACCTGGCCCGCAGGAAGGTGGCCTCCCAGACCAGGAGGGCCGTGGGAGTGGGTTGGAGGGGGGAATACAGAGCCTCTGCCTTTGTGGTTAGAGAGTCTTTACCTCTTGTTTTCCTGGCTATTCTTAGATGTGAATCCGAATAGAGCAGCCTGATAAGGACAAGGCCACCCTGGGTACCTTTCCAAACAGGAGTGGACCATTGGTTGGAGGAGAGAGTTGTGCTCTTTATTTCTCTGGCAATAAACTGGTCTTTGGAGATCATGGTAAAATTATAATGGATAAAAATTGGGGGTGCCTGGGTGGCTCATTCGGTTAAGCTACTGCCTTTGGCTCAGGTCATGATCCCAGGGTCCTGGGATCCAGCCCCGCTTGGGGCTCCCTGCTTAGCAGGAAGCCTGCTTCTCCCTCTCCCATTCCCCCTGTTTGTGTTCCTTCTGTTGCTTTTTCTCTCTCTCTGTCAAATAAATAAATAAAAATCTTGAAAAAAAAAAACCAAAAAACAAACCCAAAACCATCTCCTTTAAAAAAAAAAATTGGACAGGTGTCACTTGAAGACACCAGTACAAATGAAACTGTAAATAATAAGCTGGAGGTTGTTAAGCTGACTTGCTTTTTTCAAGCTGGGGACATCATCTCCTTGGTGGACATTGGAATACAGTGTGGCATACCTCTGATTCTTCACATGAAAAGCAAGACATAACATAAGAATCTTTTGAAGCTGATAAAGAAAATGTATTCCATATGAACAAAGATAATCTCGGTGCAGGGCAAGGTCATGATCCCCAGATGCTGCTATATAGACTGCCACTAGGTGGATTCGAGGAACCACAGTCATTGGCATTGATGTTGGACCTCTTCAAGACAGTGTCTACATATTTCATAAAGTCTTCTGCAGAGCATTTCTCCAGTTCCAGATCTGGGGGTGCAGCTATCCCCTATGAAAGCCTTGCAGAGATCAGGCTGCTCCATTGGGAGAAATGAAAGGAGGGGCACCTGGGTGGTTCAGTCAGTCAAACATCTGCGTTTTGCTAAGTTCGTGATTCCTGGGTCCTGGGATTGAGTCCTATATCAGGCGCTCTGCTCAGTGGGGAGTCTTCTTCTCCATCTCCCTCTGCCCCTCCCTGCTGCTCATGCTCTATGCTCTCTCACTCTCTCTAATAAATGTTTTTTAAAAAAATGAAAAGAAATAGGGAGGCTAACCTGAACTTGCAGTTAGTTGATGGTGCCATACCAGTGTGGAAACACCTGAAGATTATGCATGGTTATAAGAGCTGCAGGCATGAAGCCAGACATGATGCTCATGTGCATCATCTGTTGGGAGTTGCTGCACAACGACATGAGATTGCAGCTCAGGAGTGTTTTTGTTGTCCAATTATAGAATCATTGAACATAACTTGTTGTGTTAATATTGTGGCCTGGGCATTTTCCATGATTTGACATACCAGTATTGGCCAACATTTCTACTTCCCAGTTGCCAGTGGCTTTAATATCCTATCCTGAGGGGCAGCTGGGTGGCTCAGTGGGTTAAGGCCTCTGCCTTCGGCTCGGGTTATGATCCCAGGATCCTGGGATTGAGCCCCACATTGGGCTCTCTGCTCAGCGGGGAGCCTTATTCCTCCTCTCTCTCTCTGCCTGCCTCTCTGCCTACTTGTGATCTCTGTCAGGTGAATAAGTGAGACCTTAAAAAAAAATTAAAAAAATCCTATCCTGAGTTCTGTTGGGGGCCACAACTGCTTTACTCATTCAATACAATTTCATGCAGTGAAATTCAGTCATATCAGTGAACAGATGATGTTCAAGACCTAAGTGTCAGGGAAGGCACCAAGATGGCTTTGGAGTATTAGAAGTCCTTGACAGGGTGGTCCAAAAACTACTTGGTCTAAATATCTTAAGGTCATTTTATAATGCCTCTCTCAAGGGAAACTGGGGAGGCATTAGGTACTCTGGTGTGACTTTTCTTATGTGGAGCTTTTCCTTTGAGACTTTTCAGTGACCACATCTTCAATTCATATCTAGACTAAGGCTCAAGAGGGCATGTTCTTTTTTTAAGAGGTCATGTTTTTGTCCACAGCTGTGGAACAATAACACAAGGGGCCAGAAGCCTCTGGGCACCAGTCATCCCCTTTGCTGATTTCTTGGGTCTTGGCCTGATGCATTGCCACATTTGAGAGCTCTCCCCTTGCTTTTCCACAGCTATAAGTCACACTCTTATGTGTATCTCCCATGTTATTTTATTCGTTCCCTGCTTTCCTGTAATTGATGCCTTGAGACCCTGGGTTGTGGGGCAGGTGTGTGAGTGTGGCAGGCATGGCAGGCTAAGGTTTGGGGTAGGGGCTGTGTGTGTATGTGTGGTGGTGCATCTGGCTCATGATGTTCTGGTCTTACGGTGTACATCTATGGAGCAGGCCCTTCTGACTGAGACCCTGGAGAGTGTGTGAATGGTGCATGAGGAAATCACTTTCAGTCGTGGTGCTGGAAGCCATCCGTATGGTCATTCCTTTCTCTAGTTCTTACCCTCATTCTTTTTTCTGTGTTAGGTTTGCCATGTCATCTGGGGTGATATTAGGAATTTTTTAAAAATAGGCTCCATGCCCCAGTGAGGCTAGAACTCAGGATCCTGATACCAAGAGTTACATGCTGTACTTCTGAGCCATCCAGGGGCTCAGGAATTTTATTTTTGTAAAGTTTTGTTTGTTTGCTTGTTTGTTTGAAACCACCTGTTAACATTTGTTAGTAAAACATGAAACTTTTTGCTTCTTTAGGGAAATTTTCAACTGTTGTCTTACTCATGATACAAGCTTTTGCTCATGATGCAGATTCTGAGAAGCAGCACTCTGTGGAAGAAAGTCCTTTTTTGTATTCTAGTAAACAATCTGTTGAAAAAAGTTCTATTTAAAGGAAGCATAAAAACCTTGAGTAAGAGTATGCTATCCCCTGACTGAAATAAATTTTAGTGAATGGACCCCAGCATTTATTGTTTTTTTTAAATTGTTTTCCATATTCTTGAACTACTTATTTATTTATTTTTAAGATTTTATTTATTTATTTGACAGAGAGAGAGACAGCGAGAGAGGGAACACAGCAGGGAGAGTGGGAGAAAGAGAACAGGCTTTCTGCAGAGCAGGGAACCTGATGCAGGGCTGGGTCCCAGAACCCTGGGATCATGACCCAAGCAGAAGGCAAATGCTTAACGACTAAGCCACCCAGGCACCCCTTGAACTATTTATTTTGATTAAAGTTGCTATATAGATGATTTCAGTGTTGATACTTCTCTAGTAACACAGGTGTTACTATCTCATTATTTAAAACATTCCTATAGGGGCACCTGGGTGGATCAGTGGGTTAAACCTCCGCCTTCAGCTGAGGTCATGATCTCAGGGTCCTGGGATCGAGCCCCACATCAGGCTCTCTGCTCAGTGGGGAGCCTGTTTCCCCCCACCCCCCGCCTGCCTCTCTGTCTACTTGTGACCTCTCTGTCTCTCTCTGTTAAATAAATCAATAAAATATTAAAAAAAAAAACCATTCCTATAGGGGCGCCTGGGTGGCTCAGTGGGTTAAAGCCTCTGCCTTCAGCTCAGGTCATGATCCCAGGCTCCTGGGATCGAGCCCCGAGTCGGGCTCTCTGCTCAGTGGGGAGCCTGCTTCCTCCTCTCTCTCTGACTGTCTCTCAGCCTACTTGTGATCTCTGTCTGTCAAATAAATGAATAAAATCTTTAAAAAAAGAACACACAAAAAACATTCCTATAAATATGTTTGTAATAAAATATACAAATATGACAAAATAAGGGAAGAAAATTGAATAAAAAGACTACAGATATATGAATATATATAGAGTCAGTTGTGATGGGAAGGATCAGGATATACTGGTGATTAGTCTCATCTATTTTATATCAAGGGATTTGCGTTTTAGGGGAAGGAGTAAATCAGTCAAAAGTAGATGGTGATATTAAAGTACATTCCTAAGTAGTATATAATATAGGGAATGACATTGAACATAATGTAGAAAATGGGACTTGTACTAAGTGATCTGCTGTAATTATAAAATGGCAGTGGTAGCTTCCCCAGTGGACGATGGAGAAATTTTGTTTCATGGGAAGTTGTGAGTTTCTATATTTCTAGTGGTATAAAAATTTTTTATTTGAATGAAAGGGAAAAGGTATCATATTACATTATTCATTTTTTATTTGTATAGTTAATATATAATCACAGCATTTATTTGTGTGAAAGCCAAGAATCGGATTTCTTTTTTTAACTTACATATAAATATTTTATATACATGTGTGTGTGTATATATATATATATATATATATATACACACACGTATATATATACACATATATATATATAACATTATTTGATTATGTATTTATTTCGCAGAGAGATTGCACAAGCAGGGGCAGAGAGAGAGGGAGAAGCAGGGAAGTAGGCTTCCCACTAAGCAGGGAGCCCAATGTAGGACTCCATTCTAGAACCCTGGATCGTGACCTGGGCCGAAGGCAGATGCTTAACCGACTGAGCCCCCCAGACACCCTGTTAATATATATTTTTAAGTAATCTCTATGCCTAATGTGGGGCTCTAACTCAGACCACCAAAATCAAGAGTTGTGCACTCTACCAGCTGAGCCCAGCAGCCAAGTACCCCAAATAGATTTTTTTTTAATATGAGGAAGTGAAACTTATTTTCATATGTACAGGGGAGCCCCACAAACATGAAATTCCTTAAGTAGAATTCTTTATTTACTTTATTTACTCTGTCAATTTTGTCTTTCTGTATAGAAAGAATCGGCATTCAGGAAGAAATAATCCAAGAGAAGGAAGACCAAGCAGATCAAGATGTGTAGCTCTGTGGCAGCCAAGTTGTGGTTTTTGACAGATCGTCGAATCAGAGAAGACTATCCCCAAAAAGAGATTTTACGAGCATTAAAGGCCAAATGTTGTGAGGAGGAATTGGACTTTAGGGCCGTGGTGATGGATGAGGTGGTACTGACAATCGAGCAAGGAAACCTGGGTAAGTCTATAGTAAGTAGTTTAATGGAATTTTTTCTTAAAATATTTTGAATCCACATTTTTAGGAATAGTTTGGAGGAAGGAATTTTTACTAGCCTTATCATTATGAAGTATCATCTAATCTTAAAATCTAGCATTTTTTTTTTTTTTTAAGAGAACACAAGCCTCTTAACCGACTGAGACATCCAGTATTATGGCACCCCCAAATCTACTACATGTTATGGAAGAAATGGAAACAGTAGTACTTAAAAGTACTTGCTTTATTATGTGGGAAATAGTTGGGAGAGAAATTAAAGATGATCTACTAATTTTTTTCCCATTATTGCTGTCTTCTAATTTTAAAAGACATTGTTTATAAAGTGCTCATAAGAGAATTTACCTCATGGGGGTCCTTTTAGTAAATGCATCAGATTCCACATGTGAGGGGCGCCTGAGTGGCTCAGTGGGTTAAAGCCTCTGCCTTCAGCTCGGGTCATGATCCCATGGTCCTGGGATCAAGGCCCGCATTGGGCTCTCTGCTCAGCAGGAAGCCTGCTTCCTCTCTCTCTCTCTGCCTGCTTCTCTGCCTGCTTGTGATCTCTGTCTCTCAAATAAATAAGTAAAATCTTAAAAAAAAAAACCTGTAAAAAAAGAATTCCACATGTGATTCTTTCTTTTTTCTTCATAAAATATTTTATACATATAGTATAAAATGCTAATATAATTTTATTCTTTTTGCTGGATAGAAATGTCCTAATGATTTGACTCAGTTGGTGAGAAGTCTGGTATTTTCAGTATTTCATGTTTGGTTTTGGGTTATAAGGGGAAGATCTCTTAGAAATACAGAAATTCTTTAGAACTGACTTAGGAGTCTTTACATCTTTAGAAAGTTAAGACTTTTGTTTTTAAGATTTTATTTATTTATTTGACAGAGAGATCACAAGTATGCAGAAAGGCCGGCAGAGAGAAAGGGGGAAGCAGGCTGACCACTGAGCAGAGAGCCCAATGCGGGGCTCGATCTCAGGACCCTGAAATCATGACCTGAGCCGAGGCTTAACCCACTGAGCCACCCAGGCGCCCAAAAGTTAAGACTTGTTATAGCTAAGTTGGTCATTTCTGTTAAGGAGCATTATATGGTCGCATATACATGGCATTTTTAATTAACTTTCAGAAAATCCTTCATAGTTCACTGATAGTATTAGGGTATAAGACAAACACTTAAAATAGATTCTACATTACTCGCTTTGTGTCTAGAATCATAATGAGACCATGTGTTTTAATTTTCTCATCAGTAAAGTGGAGAGAGATGGTTATTGTAAGAATTAATATTATTCAGTATGTAAATCTGCTATGAGGGTAGTTTCATTCACACACTAGTTAATGGATCTAGAATCTTACCTGATAACATGGTACTGTGGTTTAAGTAGGTAGAATCTCTTAGCAGTTACTCTTTACTCTGCCCTCTTGACATTTAATTCATTCTCAGTACCTTTCAGCAGTTACCGTTTTGTCAGCTGATCTTTAATATGTAAATTAATTTATATCAAAGACTTAATAGAAAAACAGAATGTTCCCCATTTTAGTATAAATGATCCTCATGCTAATTTAGGATCAAAAGTTATTGTTGTATAGAAATAACTTCTTTAGAACTGAACTGTTTCTAGATTATTTCACTTTAGTGTATAAGTAGTTACTACCTTTACAGGAAAGATGCGCAGTATTTTATTTCAGTCATGCTTTCTTTTTTTAATGTATACACCTAGGTCTAGCACTTAGTTATTCAGATTCTGGAGATCTGGAATAGAGCCTGTTTCTTTCATTCTTTCATAAATATAATGAAAGTATTTATTATGTGCTAGTTAATTGGTATGGTGTGCAAAATGAAACAGGCTAAGATTAACGTTAATCAAGTGATCATTCAAATAAGTGTAAAATTGTTATAACTTTGGTAAATTATAAATGGAGTGGATTTGCACCCCCGTGCCCTGTACTGCACCTATGACAGATACTCCTGATCAAATAAATTAAAATCCCGAATCTAAGGCTCCTGGGTGGTTCAGTTGGTTAAGCATCTGCATCTTAATTTCAGCTCAGGTCATGATCTCAGGTCCTGGGATCCAGCCTCTTTGTATTCTGTGCCTAATGGGGAGTCTGCTTAGGATTCTCTCCCTCTGCCCCTCCGCCTGTTCATGAACATGTGCCTTCTTTCTCTCTCATATAAATACACATTTTATCTCTAGAATAAAAAAACAAAATTCAGAATCTGTCACATGCTTTTAGAGTTCACAGCTTTTCAACATAAGTGCATGTACAGTTGTTGAGATTGGAGTCAGAAATTTGGATACTGTATTGTGTTAGGAGCCATGCTCTTGAAGTATGTGTGAGAAGAGGCTTAAAGGGCGGTGTGGTACATAGCTCACTAAACACCACTTCCACAGAGTTAGGGTATATGCTTCTGCGTTTTATTTATTTATTTTTTAAAAGACTTTATTTATTCATTCGACAGCACAAGCAAGGGGAGCAACAGGCAGAGGGAGAGGTGTTATTATGTTTTAAAGGTTGGAAAACCAAAGGCTGCATAACATGTATTGGCAAGGATATAGAGAAATTGGAGCCCTCCTACATTGCTAAGGGGAATATAAAATAATGTAGGCCCTTTGGGCAAAAGTTTGGCAGTTCCTCCAAAGGTTAAACGTAGAACTACCATAGGATCCATCCCACTCCTACATATATACCTAAGAAGAATGACAACATATGTTTGAGAGTGGTTAAGGTGCGTTGGTGTTACTTGTTCTTTAAATGTTTGGTAGAATTCACCAGTGAAAACTTTTGGTGCTATGTTTTTCCTTGTTTTGGCGATTTTGGATTACTGGTTCAATATGTCTGTTCTGATTTTTTAAATTTTTTAATGATTCAGTCTTACTAGGTTGTATGCTGGCAGGAATTTATCCATTTTTTCTTGGTTATCCAATTTATTGGCATAATTTTTCATAGTTGTTTCTTATAAATCTCATTTATTTCAGTGACGTCCATTGTTAATACCTCCTTTCATTTTTTTTTTTTTTCAGTGTACAAGAGTTTATTTAAATGATATCTGAACTTAGTTCTGTCCTGTGGGGCCCACATTACAGGTTCCATCTGGGTCCATTACAACTCTAACCAAAAAAACAAAAAACAAAATCCACAACTTTTTCCATGTCATTAAATATATTCATATATAATAACCATAATATATTAGTATGCATTGGAAAGAAACACTGACCCAAACATATGTCATGGTCATAACTAAACATTTACAATTCTGAGTGAACAGAACTCAGAAACGCAGGAGGGAGCGGGGGGGGGGTGGACAGAAGTGCCTTTGGGAACAGGGGGAAGAGAGGTCTGATGACGTGGGAACGGACCTGGCTTGGTTTTGGCCAGGGGGCCAGGCCCCACGAGTACACATTTGGATACCCCTGGGGTATGGCGTGGCTGTGGCCATGAACCGTGGCCCAGTGACCCCAGCCATGAGTCTAGTTTGTCCATTTGCCAGTCTCGCTCTCTCCGGGGTATAGGGGACTTCCTTTACGTGTTGAGACCCTGACATTTTTTGGTTTCATTCCATTCTGGGCCACACCCAAGGAAGTCTGTACCCATTTCCTGCATGCTACTATGGTGGCAGAGGGGACATGAGGGGCCTTGTTACTAAAGGCCTCTCTTTTTTCTTAATCTAGCTAAAGGTTTGTCAATTTGTTGGTCTTTCCAAAAGTTAGTGTTGATTTTTTTCTGTTTTTTTATTTCAGTGATGTGTGTTCTAATCTGTATTTTTCCTTTTCTGTTCATGGTGGGTTTAGTTCTTTTTCTGCTTGTTTATGGTGTAAGGTTAGGTTGTTGATTTGAGATTTTTCTTCTTAATGTACGTTTTTTAAAAAGATTATTTATTTATTTAACAGAGAAATCACAAGTAGGCAGAAGTAGATAGAGAGGCAGGCAGAGAGGGAGAAGCGGGCTCCATGCTGAGCAGAGAGCCTGATGTCGGGCTCGATCCCAGAACCCTGGGATCATGACCTGACCTGAAGGCAGAGGCTTAACCCAAACCCACTGAGCCACCCAGGCGCCCTAATGTGCATTTTTTTTAATGTGCATGTTTATAGCAGTACACTTTCCTCTTAACACTGCTTTTACCACATACCATAAGTTTTGGTGTGCTGTGTTTTGCTTTTGTTTTAAGATATTTTCTCATTTCCCTTGTGACTTCTTTTGTCTCATTTGTTTTAAGTGAGTGTTATTTTTAGGGGCTTCTGGGTAGCTTAGTTTGTTAAGCATCCAACTCTTGGTTTCAGCTCAGGTCCTGATCCTTAGGGTTAAGAGATCAAGCACTGCATCGGGCTCAGCGCGGGGCATGGAGCCTGCTTAAGATTCTCTTCCTCTCCTCTGCCCCTCTTCATTCCCCTCAAAAAAAAAGTGTGTTACTTAATTTCCAGATATTTGTAGTTTCCTTTTGTTAATTCGTTTCTAGTTTCATTCCATTGAAAAAAGAAAAGATACTTGGTATGATATCAGTATTCTTAACTTTGTTGAGATTTATTTTGTGGCTAAAGATGTGATGTATCCTGGAGAAAATACCATTTCCCCTTGAAGAATGAGAATTGTGTTGTTAGGAGTATTTTTTATATGTTAGGTCCATTTGATATGTAATGCTTCTTCCAGTTACTTTGTTTCCTTATTAAATTTTCTGTTTGTTTGCTTGATCCATTATTAAAAGTGTAGGGTATTTGGATTTTTCAATTATTGTTAGTGTCCATTTCTCTCTTTGGTCTCTCACGGTTTGTTTCATACATGTGGGTGCTGTATTGGGTGCCTGCATATTTATAATTGTTATAAGTTCCTGGTGAATTGACTTATCATAATAATGATGATTATCTCTTGACAATTTTTCTCTTACAGCCCATTTTGTTTCATAAGTAGGAACACTTCTCTCTTTTGGTAACCATTTGCTTGGAGTATCTTTTCTCGGCCTTTCACTTTCAGCCTTTGAGT